GTTTCTCTGAACATTCAGGCAGCTGCTGGTTGCTTGTCTGCAGAGAGACAGAGGGGCCATGGTTTCTGGAACGGCATCTTCTCTCCAACCCTGCTCACCCTTTGCATGTCAGACTCCTGTCCTGACCCTCACAGCCCACTCCAGTACCTAATTCAGCCAGGCAGCCTTCCACCACTTTCCACGTTGGCATCCCCTCCTTGTGGTTTCCATCCCCCTCCACACACAAAGCCCTCCCCCCTCCCCCCGCCAGTTTCCTCCTTTATAAGGGGCTCTAAAGAGAACCACGATTAAGAATTGGCCAAGGGAATCTGAACGGATTACTGAGAGTTCCCTGCAGAGCAAACAGTCCATCACATTTGCAGTTTGAAGGGAATAACTCACCCAAGAGAACCTCTAACAGGGAGTGCAGAATGAAAAATCAGGGTGCCTTTTCATCTTGGTGTTCAAAACTTTAAATCAACCCCTTGCTTTTGTCCCTCATTGTCAAATGGTCCCCGTTCCTGAATAGAACTGGATGTTTCAGCTGCACTTTGCTAGTGCTGAAAATTAAACGATTCTCACGGTCACGGTCCTCCCATTGTTCATCGATTTGCTCGAGCGGGTCCAGTAACGTCTCCATCGTGAAACTTGTTGTTACTGTGTTTGGCATATCGAATACATCACGGGTAGCTTGCCAGGCTCTGCCGTGCGGGCGAGATACTCTCGGTAGCTTGCCAGACTCTCCGAGAGGGGAGGAGGAATCGAACTCAGGTCGGCCATGTTGACCACTTGTAAGGCAAACGCCCTACCACTGTGCTATCACTCCAGCGATAATCCAGAGAATCCAGCAATTCTCAAGTAAAACTATTCTAAAATTGGGTCACTTACTACAGCCAGCCAAGGGTACCCTCTCACCGAAAATGCCAAGTGTCACCCTATGGTGTCCAAAGCATTCCAAGAACATAAGCCATGGATGCCCCAAATCATATCAGAGCACTCAGAGAACTGTCTTCTAAATCTGAGAAGTTAATATAAAAAGCCTTAAAAAAATCAATTCCTAACCTCTTATTTTTTTTTAAATTTTTTATTAGTGAAACACCATGAGACCTCTTATTTTTTTTAACATGCATTATCACTATAAAATATCCAACCCTATGCCAAGTCTGTACTTGATGGAAAAAAATCTATATTAATTTTCAGTCTCTGTCCGCTCCATTTTCCTTTGAAAGGAATATTGACATTAAGAAAAAAGACCTTGCTGATAGTTTCTCCCCAAATCAAGGACTACATTATCTTTATGTCCTGAAGCTTAAATAAAAACCAGGCAAACAGGTTAAAAACTTTACTTTTTTTTTCATGTTGTTGCCCACAACAACCTCAAATTCGATTTTTTTGGATATCATTAAAGCCTCCATAAGACTTTATACTTTAGGGGGCTGGAGTTATAGCACAGCAGGTAATGCGTTTGCCTTGAACGCCGCTGACCCAGGTTCGATTCCCAGCATCCCATATGGTCCCCTGAGCACCCCCAGGAGTGATTCCTGAGTGCATGAGCCAGGAATAACCCCTATCCCCTATCCATCTCTGGGTGTGACCCAAAAAGAAAAACAAAAACATTTTTAAAAATAAAGACTTTGTACTTTAATTCTAAGGACTGAAGAAGTTAAATCATTTGAGTTTCTCACTACTCGAAGTGATCCACACAAGATGGCCTGGTTCCAGAGTCACAACTCTTGCTCACCACATCATATTGCTGACTTGATATTAACACTGATATTTCAAGGGCTGGGGAGGGAGGATCACACTGAATCATTTGGAAAAGAGCAAGAAGTCCATAATATCTCATTTAACATAAAGGTAAAGGTAAAGGCCCTCCCGTTGATCGTCGATTTGCTCGAGCGGGCCCAGTAACGTCTCCATTGGAGACTTTGTTGTTACTGTGTTTGGCATATCGAATACTCTCGGTAGCTTGCCGGGCTCTCCGAGAGGGGCGGAGGAATTAAACTCGGGTTGGCCGCTTGTAAGGCGAACACCCTACCGCTGTGCTAAAAGTTCAAAAATTTTATGAGATTTGGGGGTGAACTTTAAAGAATTGGGGCTGGAGTGGGGGCAGAGCAATAGTCCAGTGGACAGAGTATTTGTCTTGCATATGGCTGATCCAGGTTCAATCCCCAGCATCCCATATTATTCCCTGAGCACAAAGGCAGAAGTAGCCCCTGAGTACTGTCAAGCATGGCCTATAAACCAAATTTTTAAAAAGTTTTAAGGGGCAGGAGCGATAGTACAGCACATAGGGCATTTGCCTTGCACACAGCCAACCCAAGTTCAATCACCGGCACCCCACATAGTTCCCCCAAGCACCACCAGGAGTAATTACTGAACACGGAGCCTGGAGTAACCCCTGAGCACTGCTGAGTATGACCCGAAAAGCAAAAAAAAAAAAAGTTATAAGTATTGGGACTAGAGTAATAGCCCACAGGGCACTTGTCTTTCACACAGCCAATCTGGGTTCTATCACCACATGGTCTGCCAAGCACTGACAGGAGTAATCCCTGAGCACAGAGTCAGGAGTAAGTTTTGAGCACTTCCAAATGTAGCCCAAAACCAAAAATTAATTAATTAATTAATTTTTAATGTAGGAATACTGCTATTTATTCAGCCACTGATTAGGCTGATTGAATTGTCCATGAACTCCACCAAAATTAAATTAATTTAAAGATCAACTTGGTAGTGACCAGCCAACCCCTCCTCCCAAGATCCTTCCTTGCAAGAAGAAGACAGTCACCTGCAGAACTGGACAATTAAAAGAGCACTCAACAGTGCAATAACCACCAACAGTGTTCTCACAGAACCCTCCCCCCACTTCCCCGGGAGAAGGTGTCCTAGGGGAGGCCTGTGTGGAAAGGGATTGATCATAGCTATGAGAACAACCACAAGACCCCAACAATGAAGAGCAAAGCTCTTCAAAGTCTGGGTGGTGTTGCTGAGAAATCTTATTTCTTGTTAAATGGCAAAAAAAAAAGGACTAGAGAAGTATTTTAGTGGAGTTTCTTCTTTTAGCCACCCCTGAAGGTCCTTCATAACTGCCTTACACCCTAATCTATTCAGCTGATTTGATGCCAATGTGCACAATAAATTCATTGCTTGTCTGGGACTGGGCGTCTCCCATGCCTTTGCCCATCAGTTCCCCCAAAGTGGGAACCATTGGCTCCCCTTCTCCGGCTCCACAAAATCTTATTTTTTGAGGGGCCATCCAAAGGACTCTGCTTACCCTGAAGTCTTCTCAGAATGCCTTAGCCCTTACACACAGACCACCTCCTGCACCAATTCATTTCTGAACACCACACTCAAGGCTCACTCCTGGTGGTGTTCAGGGCTCACTTCTAATTCGGTCCTCAGGGATCACTCCTGGGAATGCTCAGGGAATCAATATGGGCGGGAGGGGGAGGGGTAAGGGGAGTAAGGGGAATAGGATTGACCAGGGCCAACTGCATGCAAGGCAGTTCCCTTTTCTGCTGTACCATCTCTCCAGCCCTGCTTCCTGAATACTACCTCTTGTCACAACTACTAGGAAACAAAGTCCTGTGAAGTCAAGAATTACTGATGATTCTCACACATCCTCCACAGCAGCAGTTTAGAATCAGCCAGAAACTGCTGACCACCCGAGGCTTGCATGAATATTTCAATGGCAGCCTGCACAAAACAGAACCAAAAACCTTATTCAATTATGCCCTACATGACTGACTGGTACCTCATAGTGTGTCTTGAGGTCAAGCTACCTCAAACATTTAATGTTTAGAGGTCAGAGAGACAGTATGGTTAGTAGGGCATTTGCCTTGATACAGCTGACCATGGATTGATCCCCAGCATCCTATATGATCCCCCAAACCCCTCCAGGAGTGGTTCCTGAGTGCAAAGCCAGGAATAACCCTGAACATTGCCAGATGTGACCCAAAAAGAAAAAAAAATGTTTAATTATATACTTAATCTGGAGATACAGTTCAGAAGCACAGCACTTTTTTTTTTTGCATGTGTGGAACCCTGAGTTTGATCACCAGAACCCTGAATGGCATATATCTCAACAGGGAACTAGCTCAGAGGTCTGGAGTCACACCAGGAGTTTTAGTGGCCCTGAGTTCTATCCCCAGCCTTAGACGATCACCCAGCTATCACCGGTTATCACCCTAGATGCCACTGAGAATGCTAGAACCCAAGAAACTAAAACATCTAGCCTGTTTGGCAGAGTTTCATGGTGAGTGGTTCATAAGTCCCCTAAGCATTGCTTGGAAGGTCCTCTCCAAAAACTAATGAAATAAAACATAGACTTATTCTATCACAAGTCACTCTTATAAAGAGAATTTTTGCATTGGCAATATACAAAACAAACCCCCCCAAAACTAGGCATTCCAGATCTACCTCTATTTATTGAATCTAATTAGATACATGTTGGTACTATTTCTTTTCTAAATTGAAATTTTTAACATATTTATATAACTTAGAGGATCTTTATATTTTCTTCAATAAATAGAGTGATATAACAATAATTAAGCTCAAAGTAAACAGAAGCATATAAATTCTTTCAAATACCTGAAAATCCAAAGAGCCAATTATCGTAAGTTTTCATGTTTGGGGGACACACCCAGTGATGCTCAGAGCTTACTCCTGGCTCTGCACTCAGGAATTACTCCTGGCGGTGCTCGTGGAACCATATGGGATGCTGGGGATTGAACCCAGGTCAGCTGCATGCAAGGCAAACACCCTCCCCAGTGTACTATCCCTATAGACCCCTATGGTAACTTGTAACATTCCAAAATTCAGAGGCATCCCATGAGGATGTGAGGGACTGGGAGGGATGAGTGAACAGAACAACCCTCCCATGCCCCGTGCCCAGGTCCATATTTCTCCAACAAGCAGACAACAGCGTTGCTACAGTTATCCTGGAGTCAAAACTACATCAAATCAAAAAGATTTTTTTTGGCACTGAAGGAGGAACTTTTTAAATTATTAAACAAACATCTTACCTTTTGTAGAATGCTGAAGAAATTTCTTGACACCAAAATGACTGACTCCGGAAGTCACATTTGCTCCGGGCGGGTAAGTGAAAACAAAAGCAGCCCCAGCCTTTTTGCTGTTAGCATTTCCTTCTATAATCAACCTTGCTTTCCTCTCCAAATGTGCAGTTTATTCCCATTGGAAGGACTCCAGAAGACTAACTGGACTTGTAGAGAACTGAACCCAAGATGGTTGGGTTAAGTGTAACCCAGGCAGCAGGAAGAATCTGAATGTGACAAAGAGATTAGCAAGTTCCTGTGTAGAAGTCAATTTCCTGTAGCTGGTTTCTCCGAAGAGGGGTTTCACTTGTGTGGGTTTAGGGGTGTGTGTGTGTGTGCGCGTGCATGCGCACGCGCGCATCTGTGCACATGCATTCATTTTTCTCCATGACAATGTGAAAACTTTCCCCAGATCAGAGGTGGAATCAGGTTTTGAGGCATGATTGAATTTATATTTAATTTACCAACTCCTCCTAAACCATTTTCACCTTCCCCACCTTGAACCTCCACTTCCCCACCAGAAAGTCGCTTTGGAAACACTGGGGAAGGCATGGGGTGGGGATGAAAAGCCAGGATGATTCCTTGTTTGATTCTTTGTTTGTTTTGGAGACATACCCAGAAATGCTCCTGGCTCTGCACTCAGAAATGACCCCAATATGGTCCCCCCTGGTGGGCATGGGGGACCAAATGGGATGCCAGAATCAAACCTGGGTTGGCCACAAGCAAGACAAGTGCCCTACCCACAATACTGTCTCTTCAGCCCCCCGAATGATTCCCAATGACGGATAAAGTCCCAAAAATCAAAAATATCAATTGGTTATTTTAAGCTTGGTGGGAAAGCACCTAAGAAGTTATAATTTAGTGATGATACTAACTTTGGGGGAAAGTAGTCCATGGGTGGCTGGCTTTACTTTGCTTTATTAATAACTACAAACGAATAATTTGGAGAGTAAGAACTTTAAAAATTAGCCTTAGCGAGAACTGAGACGGCCGACTGGCTTCCACCCTTCCTCGACCAGCCCCTGTGCGGTGAGGACGATGAACCCTGAGCTGTTTTCACATTCTGTTTTGAGATTTGCCTCCAAACTCGCATTTGTTTGTTTGGTCCCTTTGTGGAGTCCAGGTGTGTCAACCATCTGGAGTGAGTTAACTTCTGGCTGAGTTACCTAAAGCAACACATTTAGCTTTCATGATTTCGTCACAATCTCTTGCCTCTAATCCCTGAGTCAACATAATTAATGATGCCCAGTATGAAATTAAAATATCTCTGCCAGGATAAAGGATAAAGTCAACAACTCCTATGTGCAAGGTGCCAGGCTAGGGATAGAAACAAATAAGTTAGGTAGAATCTATCATTTCCAAAGGGCAAAGTTACAAGGAGAAAGACCTGGACACGAAGGAGAGATGGCATCTTCACACAAAGAATTCTTGGGACACCAAGGTCAAGTAAAATAACAACATGTCAACATTTTGCAAGGGAACTGTCACTGTCACTGTCCTCCCATTGTTCATCGATTTGCTCGAGCGGGCCCAGTAACATCTCCACTGGAGACTTCTTGTTACTGTGTTTGGCATATCGAATACATCACGGGGAGCTTGCCAGGCTTTGCCATGCGGGCGAGATGCTCTCAGTAGCTTGCCGGGCTAGGAAACTTTAAACACTGACCTGGATTCTCTCAAGCATATGCAGGGAGCCTTGGCTGGCTTCCCGAGCCCCATCCCTGCCCCTCAGCCAGGATGCAGTAGAGATGGTCATGACTTGTCACCAACTCTGAATCCTGAGTTTGTGCCCCACCCGGGCACTGAAAAAAATCCTAAAGACTAACACATGACCTTCCTGTCCTAGGCCTGTGTGCTAGTGGGAGACCAATAAAAACATTGCCATAAACACAGCTGTTATGGAGCTGGAGCAATAGCACAGCAGGTAGAGCGTTTGCCTTGCACGCAGTCAACCCGGGTTCGATTTCCAGCATCCCATATGGTTCCCCTGAGCACAGCTAGGAGTAATTCCTGTGTGCAGAACCAGGAGTAACCCCTGTGCATCACCAGGTGTGACCCAAAAAGCAAAAACAAATAAAACAAAATATAATAAAATTAAATTAAATTTAAATTTAAAAAAAAACACAGCTGTTATGAACGAAGTAACTAGGACCAAGGAACCTGAGATGTTGCACTAAGGAGCAAGAGATCACCTCCATCTGGAGGAGATCAGGTGGGCCTCTCTGAGCAGTGGGCGTTTCAGCAGAGACCTAACGCTGTGACTCAGCACCAATTTTAAATGACATTTGGGAGGGAAACTGGGGCCATTGGTGGTGGGAAATGTACACTGGTGAAGGGATGTGGGTTGGAACATTGTATGACTGAACAACTTTGTATTTGTGTATCTCATGGTGATTCAAAAAAAATTAAAATTAAAAATAAATTTTAAAATAAACAAAATTAAAATGACATTCCTGTGAGAAAACTTTAAACAAATACCTAGTCTGGACACCCAGAAATTCTCTTTTCACTCAGCTGGTCTGGGCCCAGGCATACACAAACGGTCCTTTGGTTATTCTAACATGCTGCCAAGTACTTTAAATGATGAGAAAAAGGAGTCAGGGAGGCAGGGATGGGGGAATCACACTAAGCAGAACCAAAGGGGACAAGGATGTGGCTCAGGGATGGAACTTTGCAGATGTAAGGCCCCAGATTCCATTCCCAGCACCACAAGCTAAACATAAACCCAATACATCAAAAGTGTATGCAAAAGCCTGATGGGTGAACTTGGTATGTTCAAGGGAGTGGAAAAGGACGCAGGGCTATAGTGGTGGCCGAAATGGATGATCCAAGAGGAGCGATCTGAGAGATGGGCCATGATTACTAAGACCCCAGGAGACCCTGGCATGACCCAAGGGTCCTTTTGTGAATGTAGGTGAGACCCTTGAGTCCTCTCTGAGCACATTGCCTTCTAGAACATTCTCTGTGGGAAGCCAGATCCTGCTGTGATATTACTGGGTGAGTGGAACAGATGGCTTGTGGAGACTTTATTTATCTCCGAATTGGATCACCGAAAGATAAAGAGCAGCTTGACAGAGGAAACATTAAAAACGAGAAGTATAAAAAATGAGAATAATAGAAATGAAGATAAAAATAAAGCTAAAAGGAGGGAAGGGGGAAGAGAAGAATTAAGAGGAAGACTAGAAAAAACACAAGGACACTGGTGGAGGGTATTGAGCACTTAGGTGGTAGTGAGTGTATTAACTATACACCAAGACCATAAACATTAAGACACGTTAACAAAAATTAACATGTGGTAAAGTAAACATGTTACCTTAACATCAGCAATATAAAATTAATTAGAAATTTTAAAGGGGGCTGGAGAGACAGTACAGCAGGTAAGATGCTTGTCTTGCATATGTCCAGCCTGGGTTTAATCCCCAGCACCCCATATGGTCCCCTGAGCCCTGCTAGGAGTGAACCCTGAGCTAGAGTCAAGAGTCAGAATTGAACACCATTGGATGTAGCCAAAATAAAATAAAATAAAATTTCACCAAGAAATTAAGTGAAAGGCAAAGATAATATTGACAATCATTAAAAAAAAAAAAGACATTATCATGTGTCTCTAAGGTTGTTGCTACCCAGCATGGAGCAGAAGACAGTCTAAATGAAGCTGATAAAATGCTCCTGGCTTCTCAGGGCTGAGACCAAAGAGAAAATCCTCCCCTCGATTTTCATCCAGAAGAGAGCATGACCCAAATGGAACACCAATCTGACATTAAACACAAGAGACGGATCTTACATTTTTTTCTCACTGTAGAATTTTTTACAATTTTTCTCATTTTTCTTTCAAGAGAAGAAATTTTATTTCAAGGGGAGAGAGAAAAGTTAACACATACAAGAGGGAATACAGGCTTTCCCGGCAAGAGAAGAGCATACTATGGTATTAATGAAAGGACACACACCACAATGGGATGCAGGGGTCTCCAGAGAGGAAGGTGCCCTGCTGGCTGACTGCAGTTCACAGAAGAGCCGATTCCAAGCAGGACAGAGTGGAATGCGCCAGGAATCAAGTCAGTACCAGCGACCCCGAGATGTGCCTTTGATGTATCAATTCAATGCGGAGATGAAAATTGATTTCAAGAATACTTCAGGAAATTCAGGAGGACAGAATTTTTTTTTTAATTGAATCACCATGAAGTAGAAACCATAAGGTAGAAACCATCAGGGTTCTTAAATCTGAATTTTGAAGAAATTTGGGGCAAGCTACCGAGAGTATCTTGCGCGCAAGGCAAAGCCTGGCAAGCTACCCATGACATATTCAATATGCAAAACACAGTAACAACAAGTCTCAAAATGGAGACATTACTGGGCCCACTCGAGCAAATCGATGAACAACAGGAGGACAGTGTTTGTTGTGTTTGTTTGGGGGCAGCAAAGAATTAAAAACTGAACTTCCAGCAAAGCAGTTGGTAGTTTTCTCAATGTCCTGGTGATCCTTAAGAAAGCAAAGGAGGGCCAGAGAAATAGTACAGCGGACATTTACCTTGCATGTGACCAACCCTGGTTCGATCCCCAGCACTGCATAGACCACCCCACCACCAACAACAAAACCAGAACTTACTCCAAAAATAACCCCTGAACACCATTCAGTGTAGCCCTAAATTCCATCACCCCCCCCAAAAAAAAAGAAAGCAGAAGTGCGGTTGGGAGAGTAGTTGGAGGTTGGGGGCATATCCTGAAGGTGGGAGGCCCGGGTTTAATGGCTAGCACCACAACAAAAGCAGAAGAATGGGGTGAGGAGGGTGTCCCTGTGCTCCTCTAGCAGGAGATACGATAAGATTGCTCTTTGGGACTTACAGCAAGGGGCCCCACAAACTCAATTTATGAAGCTCAGGGCCTCATGCCTTGTCTCTTTTCTCTACACAAGGTGATACACACCCCAGGGCAGGAGATGAGGGGTGCATTCCCAGGCCCAAACCCTCCCTCCCCATCCTGAAGGAGCCTGGGAAGGGTTGGAGTCCCCCCCCCACCACCACCACCAACCCCGCTGCTTCTCCTGGGGGACTTGCTCTCTCTGCAGCTTTGGCTGTAGTTTCCGACACTCACATGGTCAGGCCTCTGTGCTGCCTCTGTTCCTGCCCATAAAACATTTTTTTCCCGTGGCCTCCTGCAAGCTCTA